ATATATATATATAATAAATTATTATGAAATTACACCCAAAGTCTAAAATTAAATTGTAAATATCGAATAGCTTCTCTTGTCTTGAATCTTAAATATAAACATATCGCGTGTTACATACAATATCTTAATTTACTCTTGTATAATTTTTAAAGTAAAAATTGCATTTGTTTCTAATATAGAAATTAAACGAGATTGATATGTGTTCTTTACAAACGTGTGTGCGCATCAAACATTAATTTTTAAATCTCTGTTGTGTGAAATTCTCTTTATCTAAGAAATCTGAAGAAATCTTATTGAATAAAATCATAATTATACGTGGTACATTTCTCATTCACGATGTGATTTCTAAAGTTGCTAATGTTAAAAATTAATTCATACTTTGGAAAAGAATTTATATCATACGACAAATGGCACAGCATATCTCATTGCAACTCGTGGTTTTGGGATACAATTAAGCGACATAATTCATAATACGTTTTCGATTATAATATCAATTTTTCATGTAGGAAATAATTATTATGATTTATTTACAAATTTTGTGCGTGCAGAATATCGCTTTACGTATCGTGTGAAAACTCGTACATTTTTGCGATTTAATTGGAAAATACGCATGATATCCAATAAGATTTTTACAAAAATCATTCGCTATCTGAGACTATGTCAACGGAATTACGAGAATTAATAAATACGTGATCATTCCACGAATTTACGGTAGCGAAATCTGTAAACATAAATATATGATGAATTTTATAATGTTAATTTCTGTTATTATATTTACATGTACTTAGGCTATGAGAGTGTATAAAGAGTTCAAGTTATTATAGTCAAATGAAAATAAAGAGTGAAGTATATATGAAGAAATAAACATTGTTTTTTATTGCGTGAATAATCAATTGATTCAGTGAATCTAAAATCTGAAACAAAAGAAAAATGTTAATAATATATCTTATATTTTATTCGCATGAAATTTTTATATTTATCTCTATTTTTTATATTTATTTTTTCTTAAAAAATTAGATAAAAGTGGAACAAAAAATCGGGAATGTCCCTTGAAATGTATTCTCAAAATTGTTAAGTCCTTTTTTATTTTTTTAAATCTAATTTAATTATTTTTTTAAAAAGATTTTTTGATATTTTTGAATAATATTAGTCAATTCTTATATTATGTTAAGATCGCTTAAGTAATGTCTTAAGATGAAAATATATCT